GCGGTGGTGGTTGCTGCGGGGCGCGGGGAACGGGCGCCGCTGGAGTCGCGACCGCTGACGACGAGGTGCAGACGCTGTCGGGCAGCGTGAGGCGGGCCCCGTCCGGACCCCCCAGCACCTCCGGCACCCCCAACTGCGCAGCTGCTGCTAAGGCCCCCGGCACGCAGCAGCCCAAACCCGCCAGCTTGGGCCGCGGGCGGGGGGCAGCCGCCGCCATCCTCAGCTTGGGCAACGTGCTCAACTACCTGGACAGGTACACCGTAGCAGGTGAGCGAGTGCCCCACCCAGCCGGAGAACCAGGTACCCCAGGGAGTCTTTGGTCCCAGACCCCTTGTACCCACGCCTTAAGAGGCGTCCCTAAGGGTCTTCTGCTCAGGCACAACTGGGCAAATGATGTGAGATCCATGGGTCCAATCCGGGGACACCCCCACCCCACTTCCCGCATCAGGGGTTCGGATATCCCCACCCCTGGAGTAGCCCGCGCGCCCTCGCCAATCCCTGACGTCCCACCCGTTGTCCTCTTCTCGGGGAGTCTCCTCTGCGTCTCCGCGTTCTCGCCTCCGCGCCCCTTCCTGCCCTAACCTCAGGTTCCCGGGCCCCTCCCCACTTCCCCCAGGCGACGCAGTCCGTCCGTGGCCGGCCAGCTCCTTCCTTCCTCTACTGCCTCCACTCCCCTGCGAGCGTGCGGCGAGTGCGCGCGCCCCTTGCGGGTGTTCACCAGGGGAGACCAAACGTGTGCGCGCGGACCGCGCGGATGTGTGTGTGAGCGTGTGAGCGCGTGGCTGACAAAGGCTCTGGGCTGCGGGGAGCGGAGGGAGGGGCGGGGCCGGTCCTCGGCGCCTGGGGACCCAAGATGCGGTTTGCAGCTGGCCCTGACTAGAGGCCTGAGAAAGCCTCTCCCTGCTGTAAGGATTGGGGCCTGGGGCAGGACACAGACCACCGAGGCTCCAGAGGGGCTGCTCATCCTCTGTGAGCATCTCTGGGAACCTGCCTTGGGAGTGGGCTTTGGTTTCCCAGCAGCTGGGTTCCACTAGATTTGCACCTCATGTGCCTGGTGTGTGACCTTGGGCTTCCCAACTCAGCTCCTTTTAGCTCTGTTCTCCATTTGTGAGGTGGTTGATTCCTGGAACCTTTGGGGATAGATGGAATTCTGTTTTCCTGAGTGGTAACTGCCCTCCCCCAGTTCTCCAGTGGGAGTGGGGGCGTGGGGTGTCTCTGAGTAGGGACTTTCTTTCCCCTTCAGTGAACTGTTCTCTGTGCGGCCTTGTAAAAGGGCCTCTGGCCAGGTGGGCATAGCTGGGGGCTCCCTGTGGAAGGACAGCACTGCCTGTGGGCCTGGCAGGCTGGCCCAGAACCTGCCTAACCACAGCTTCGGAAATCTGGAGCTATAGGGAGAAAAACGACAGGGAAAAGAATTTTGGACAGCCTCTAAAGAGTACTTTGTGCTGACAGGAGAGTAGAGCCATGGGTCCCCTTCTCCAGGCCTCTGTCTGGGATTTTTTGTCAAGGTAGAAGAGAAGAACTCCGATGGAGGGCAGAGGCTTCCCCCTCCCCCGCAAGCGCTTTCAAAGCCTCTTGGCTCTCTCTTCCTCCACTGCAGGGAGTTGGAAGTGGGTACTAGCGGCACCAGTTTCTGGGTCGGACTGTCCCTAAGAGACTCTTGGTTTGGACCCAGCAATGCAGAAGTGCACCAGCCCCTGTCCTGCATAAGGTGCTGCCTGCCGCCCAGCTTAGTGCCAGCAGTCAGACAACATCCGGGACCTGTCGTCTGTGCAAAATAGACTTCTTTGTACAGATGAGGAAGCTGAGGCCCCCACACCACCCTTGTCCAAGATGGCTGAGCGCGCACGACAAAGCTGGCCTTAGTCCGGCCAGTGAGCTCCACCTGGGAGAGGTTTCCCTCTCCCAGCTGGACAACGAGTGGGCCTCCTTCTGGCATTGTAAAGCTTTCCAACTTGTTTTTTCCGGCCCTAGACCATCCCCTCTGACATTCTTTGGGAAACTGACTCTGCCAGAGTCTGAGAATGGTATTAGGAAGGTCTGGTGCTTATTTGCCACTACCCCTACTTGTCCGAGAGTCAGAATGGGGGAACAAGATAGGAAATTTCTGGTGAATTAGTAGGGGGACACGGAAAGCAGTGGCTATGAGGGTGTGGTGGCAGGGAGGAAGGCCAGGAAAGCCCTGTGCAAACACCGATGGGCCCTGCATCCCTCCCTGTCAGTGCCAAGGGTGGGAGTCTTGCTCCGCCCTGCCCCCAGCACACAACATACACAGATTTCCTCTCCGGATAAGCCTGACTCCCTCTCTCTTTATGGTAGACTTCCCTCACTCCCTACCCTGCCCCAGGAGAATTTATATCTTATGTCAACTGTCTGTATGGCAACTATGGTGTGTCATGTGGGAGGGGCAGCAGAATGGCCATCCCCGGCCTGAGTCCACCTGTTGCTAGCTGGCCCAGCTGGGACACAGGAGAGGATGCAGATGTCCCCACCTCTCAACCACCTTTGATGTTGGTACTCAGCTGATCCCTGAAACACTCACACCGGCTCCTGCATCAGAGAATGGGGATCGCTTCCTTTATGTGGGGTCTTGTGCAGGTCTGTGCTCATGGTACAGACCTTCAATGTCCAAAAGAAATATAATGCAAGCCACAGCTTTTACTGAAAATGTCCTTGCCCCCACCTTAAAAAAGTAGATTAATAATGTATTTAATTCAATAGCTCCGACATATTTCAACATGTGATCACTATGAAAGCTGTTTTTGAGCCCTGTGTGTGTTTTCCATTTACAGCACATGTCGGTGTGAGCTAGTGGCCTTTTGGGGGTGTGATGGCCACAGCGGCCAGCAGACAGTGAAGTTCTGGACTCTTTGATGCCAGAGCTCCAGTCCAGACTCTTCACCTCCCCCGCTGCGTGACCTTGGGGATCTTGCCTGGTCCTTCTGTGGGCTCATTTCCTCTCCCCACCTCCTGGGTTGTGTGGAGTAGATGAGAATGTCTCTTAGGCACCTGGGACAAGGCCAGACTCCGAGGAGAGCTTCGCAAATGTCAGCTCCCTTCCTGGCCACATCTCCGCTCAAGCTGTGCCCTGCCCCCATGCCCTTCCCGCTCTCTGTTTTTGACAGCTCCTTTCAGGATACCTATGTGAACCCCTCCTTTCTCCACCAGGGCTCCATCCTGGGAACTCCAGTAGGTTCCCCTCTGCCCTAGCATTCCCAGCACCACCCGTGATCCAGCTAATTATGGCTCTCCTCCTCCCCATGAGAACCCCCCGAGGCAGCAGGCTGCCACAGCAGATGAGGAAAGCCAGGCTCCTCTCCTGCTTTTCTACCTGGGCGTTGCTTCAGTTGGATGAAATTAAGGTAGCCCAGAACCCACCTCTGAACGCTTCCCTCCAGCGGAGGACACTGATTCCCCAGATCGGCATTTCTCCAAGGTCACACAGCAGGGTGGAGCAGGACCGGAACCCCTGGGACAGGGTTCTCTTGGGGAAGGCTGGGCAGGTGACTCTCAACTCAGTTTAGCAGAGAGGCAGTTTGAACTTCCCTAGGGCACGTGGCTTTTGCTCCCACGACCCCTGCCAGCCTGGCAGCCAAAGGCCCTCAGGTCCTGGGTCCTGGATCTCTACTTGCCCGCTCTGCCCCTGGCACAAGAGCTGCTTCTGCCCCTGGGCTCCTGTTCTTTGTCTGTAAAATGGAAACAGAGCTGAGTGTGTAGGTGGCAGTTTTCTGCTCCTGGAACCAGGCCCAGCAGGAGGGAGCTGGTGGGGCCCTGTTCATGGTTGGTGAGTGACTATTCGAGGATTGAGATCCTTCTCTAACTTCACCAGCACCCACTCCCTTCCTGGGACTTCTTTTCTTTGGGTCCAGAGTGTGGCTGATTGGGAACTTGACATGGGGTGGGGCTGGGGCAGGTGAGGAGAGCTGAGCCCTGCCCTGAGGGAGTCCTTTCTGCCAAAGAAGCTGAGACCGGTATCCATGGCAACCGCTCACTAACACAAACCCAGAAGAAGAAACAGTGCTGGGACACAGCCAGGGAAACACAGGGCTGGTAAGGGCTGGGGGCTTCCCCAAGTCCCTGAGCCATGTGCAGGAGGGCGCTGCCAGGCCAGGACTCTGGCCTCTATTTCTTTCGCCTGCCCAATTTGGCCTGTCCAGAGTTAACAGATGAGGAAATAGAGGTCACCCAGTAGATAGAAGCCAAGTAAATCCCCAAGGTCTGTGGCTATCTTTTTGGACAAGGATAATCAACATCCTCAACACGCTCCTGCCCTGCCCCCTCGGTGGCCCTGTCCCCTGGGGTGGCACTGCCCTGGCCATAGCCACGTCAGCACTACCTAAAGTGTGCAGGGCGGGGTGTCCCAGGGCTGCATTCCAGAACGCCTGCCTGGCAGGTCAGCACCCAGGTAAACTGCCGGGCAGCCTGGAATGCCAGTGCCTTAGTGACTAACCCCAGCTGTCCACTTCCTTGCTCCTTCTTCCTTCTAGGCCCCTTTCCAGCTGGTTCTGCCAGTACTTCTGCTGTGCTGTTGACCTGTCAGAGGAAGTGACTTGCAACTCGCTACCTTGATCCTGGGCCCAGCCGGAGCCTCGGTCTCCTGTTTTGCCAATGGATCAGGCAGCTGCAGGGCCGCCTGGGCTGAGTGTGAGACCAGCGGGGTCACGGCAGCTCAGAGAGAGGGGCTCTGCGCCCCGCCCCCAGACAGGAGGTGACTTTCATTTCTGCCTGAGTACCGGGGCCTGAAACCCTGAGGGAGGAAGGGGGCTGAAAGCTAGGAAGCTACTAGAACATGGCCTTGATCCCAGGCTCCTGGAGCTGTGGTCCCTAGTATCTTCTGGGCTGAGCTTCCTGCTCCTGGCTCTGCCAGACTTCTGTGTGACCTGAGGCCGCTTCTGACCCTCTCTGAGCTCTGAGTCCACAATAGATGATTTTGTCTCTTTCTGTGGTCAGGATCTTACTCCTAAGAGTGGTGTGGGGCACTTGGCCCCTGGGACTTCTGCTGACCCCCACTTCTGCCTTTTTCAGTGTTTGTCCTCCTGGATAAGCAGGTCTGCTCCCCAGGAGCAGCAGCAGCTTACCCCAGTTTCTCCTGGAGGCCCAGTCGTGACTTAGTCTTCTTCCCCAACTCTGGGCTGAGTCAGGCGCCTGACTGCAGGCTTGCAGCTGTGTCTGTTGGCCTTCATCACCTCCCACCTGTGTAGGGTGGTGTCTCCCTCCCACCTCGAGGGGCTGAGCCTGGTTGTCTCCGGTCCCTAGTGGGGGACTGG